TCAAGAGGGCCACAACACGTCCCCACAACGGCCCGGAAAGACATCAGGATCAGCAAAAGAGAGAGGAAAAGAGAGAAAGGGGGCGCCCACCGACAGCCGCCCACCGAGAGCCGCCCACCGAAATCGGCCCGCTACTTTCGCCAATCTCTTGAGGGAGCGCCCACCGAAAGCCGCCCACCGAGAGCCGCCCACCGAACTCGGCCGACTCCTTTCGTCAATTGTTCGATGTCCACTAGGACCCCTTTCAGTGTAAGCACTGTTTGGGGAATAGAGTGCACCACATTGCTTGCTCCGAATTTACTGCACCACGTGGATCACACCACGCAGACTGCACAACATAGATCTCACGACATAGATGGCACCACATAGAATGCGAAACGTAGATCGCCATGCATAGGTTGCACCATTTAAACTGCACCGCAGGCATTGCACCACAAAGATCGCACTACATATATTGCCCCACTTACATTGCCCAACTGTAATTCACCACGTAGGTTGCACAAGGTAGATCACACGACACACGTTGCACAGCATACATCGCGCAACGTAGATCGGACCACATAGGGACAGCCATCTATATTGCACAATATGAATGCAGACACACGCACACACATATATATATATACAGATATATATATATTTATAAATAAAACATATTGCACTGCATGCGTTGGACCACACTGCTCCCCACACGCAGACTGCACCACATACATGTTAGAAACAACGTGGTTTGGGCCACAATGGCTATCATGTTGCCACGCGGTGTTGTGCTAAGTTGCGCGATGCGGTGGTGTGACAGGCTGTGTGGATACCAGCAACGCTGTTCGAGTGGCTTGCGAGGATTCCGACCACACCAACTCCAAGAAATGATGCGCCAGAGGAAGTCGCCAGGTTGAGACCTGAGTTTCAGTGCGTGTTTCTGGCGTGTTCATCGGGGTGCACTCTTCTTGGGCTCCTCCATCATTTCTTCCTTCTTACCGCATTCGCAGCTCATCTATGGCAATCCCCGGGCGAATTGCCAGGTAGGAGCACGCAGCGGAACAACAAATAGGCAGTTGTCAAATCGAAATTCGGGACAAACTTGACCAGAGGCACGAGCCAACGACGACAAAGGCCCGAGCAGACCGTCTGCTCGGGCTTTTCCCGTTGCCAGCAGACGCGTTACCTCTGTGTCAGCTGCAGACGCAGAGGTAACAATGAAGGCCTTCGGACTTCGCGGGTCTTTCGACGTGGGCGCGCCACGGAGGTTTCCTGCGGAATTTGTGAGACGTTTCGGTTCTTTTGGCAGCCTCCTGCGCGGGGCCTTACGAAAGAGGGTGTCTTAGTTGGCGCTGGCCCGTTGGAACCCGACGAACCGCCTTCGCAGGGCTCTCTTAGGTCGTTCTTGGGGCGCTCTTGATGGCCTCTGAGGCCGTGTTGGAGCAGTCCTGGCAGTTGTTGAAGCTCTCTTTGGGAAATCGTGGAGCCATCTGAAGGCCTCCCAAGAAGCCAGTTGGACGCGACAGGGCGACGACCGTCATATGACATGTTCGGGCTCTCGGAGGCTGTTACGGGACGCTCGAGGGCCACTTGGAGCGTGGGGCCGTCTGTGATCTTCTTGGGCGACGGCAGGAGGCCACCTCGAGTGCCAACGTGGACAAGATGGCTCCATCTTGGAGGCCAGCTTAGAGCCGAGCGGCTGCCTTGATGAGCTCAGCGCCCCCCACCTCCCCAAATTGGATGTTGCATTCCAAGGGCGTCCTCGAGTGCGCGAAGTTATTCGCGCTTCGCGCTTCGGCTCCGATTCCTCCTCATCCTCCTCTTCTCCCATGGGAGGCGGCGCGAGAGCGAACCGAACTCTATACACCGACGCTTTTTCCGACCCTGCCTTGAAATTTGCGCTGCAGAGCGGATCCTGGTGTATACGGGACCCTGGTGTATACATTTTTCGTTGTTTCCCCAGGACCTCGAGGAACAAAGTATAAACCACACCACCTCAGCGTCTTCCCCGACCCTCAAAAAGTCCTGGGATTGAAAAACAGCCCGCCACTGGTAATGTATATGTTCCAGTTTCCGAGGATGTTGCATTCCCAGGGAGGGGGGAAGAGGGCAGGGGGACAGCCCGTCACCTCGCACGCCCTCCCATGCCCAGCAGGCGAGAGCCGGGTGACTGAATCGTGTGCCGTCTGCGCCACGCTGCGACATGCTATGAGGTTCAAGAGGGGAAGAAGCACGCAGACACAAGTAATCGTGGATTTGTAAGGCAATATAGTAAGCTACAGGAAATGTGGGGGAAGACGAGCATCCAGAAAATATCAAAACATATTAGGAATCCTGGGTCGTCTTGCGGGCCTCTAGGGGGCCTCTTGGCCCGTCCTGGGGCGACCTTGGAGACCTACGAGGCCGTCTTTGAGCGTCGGAAGCCTGGAAAGGCCAGCCCGCTAAACTCATCCACACACCTAAGACAACTCACGGATGTTCGCCTCCTGGTGGTCTTTTTGGAGCTTTTTTAGGGCGTCTTGGTGGCCTCTTTGGGCCGTCTGGAGGACATTTTGGGCGTCGTGGTGCCATCTTTTGGCTTGGAGGTTATCTTGGACCATTTTGTCAGTCTTGGAGCCATCTTGGAGGCCATCGTGCACCATCTTGGTCGTCCTGGGGGCGGTTTGTGTAGTAGGGCACGCAGCGTCGCAGTTTGATTGGCGCTTTGGGTCCTCACGGGTGGCCAGCGGGATCGGCCGAATGCCCATCGAGAATTTTCAAAAAGGGCCAAGCATTACCTAACGTTTGACACGCTGGTGATCGTTTTCTTACTCATTGTTTTGCCGATCGGCGCGGGCCCTCGCACCCCCCCCTCCTCTGGAGTAGATCATGGCTGTTTTGGCGCCTGTTTCGAGCGCAGGTGGAGTCTCCCCCATATGACGCACTGCTGCAAATAGTCGCACCGAGCAGAGGTCGGCAGCCAGAACCCCCCTCTTCTTCCGCCCAATGTCGACACGCCGAATACGAAAACGTCGACCCTTGCACCCTTGTGGCAAACCAAACGGGGGCGGCGGATCTAGTGGCCTTTTGTCCCATCACGCCACCGTGACTGGGTTTGGGCCCACAGGCCTCTGGGATGCCTCCGCGAGTGTCTCGGGACGCCTCTCCGGGCCATGGGGCCCCTCGGGTGCCTCGTGGGTGCCCCGCGGGTGCTTCTTGAGAACCTCGTGAGGGCATTTTGAAGGGCCTCCGGGGGCCTCCTGTGGCCCTCTGGGGGCCACTTGGGGTGCTCAGGGCGGTCTCGGGGGGCCTTCTTGGCACCACAGGGCTCGTGGGGCCAGTTCGGGTCACCCCCGGTGGGGCCGACATCATTCGACAGCAATTGGGCGACGCCAGAGATGGTGTCGTCTTCGCCGACGTCGGCGCGCAAGCTGCCCGCACAAGGTCGCGCGTAAGCGGCCTTGTCTCTAATCTAGTGTGCCGCGGCAGCGGCCCGCAGCGTACGGTCTCTGTGACTGAGATCCGTTTCGATCGTCGCTCAGTCTTTTCCAATGATGTGCGGGACAAGTTGCTGAAGGATTCCCAAGAGCGCCCAGAAAACGGGTTTCCCGGCGTCCAAAAACAATCTCCAATTATCAGCTTGGCGAAGGACCCAACCGTCGACAATTGTCAGCACCGCAGTCGTGAGTATACTCTTCGGTGATGGGGCCACGAAGCGTGTGAGGGGTGTGCCGAAATGGGCGTGGCAGTCGCATGTGGACGGTGCCTCAGTAGGCCTTCGGTGGAGCTCCCCATGGGCCCACGAAACGTGCAAGGATTGTGCCGAAATGGGTGTTGCGGACGCATGTGGACGGTGGCGCAGTAGACCTTCGGTGGAGCTCCCAATGAGGCCACGAAACGTGTGAGGGGTGTGCCGAAATGGGTGTGGCGGACGCATATGGACGGTGCCTCTGCGGCCTTCGGTGGAGCTCCCTATGGGGCCACGAAACGTGTGAGGGGTGTGCCGCAATGGGTGTTGCGGACGCATGTGGACGGTGGCGCAGAAGGCCTTCTGTGGTTCTTCCAATGGGGCCACGAAACGTGTGGGGGGTGTGCCGAAATGGGTGTGGCGGGCGCATGTGGACGGTGCCACTGGGGCCTTCGGTGGAGCTCCCAATTGGGCTACGAAACGTGTGAGGGGTGTGCCGAAATGGGTGTGGCGGACGCATGTGGACGGTGGCATTTCGGCCTTCGGTGGCGCTCCTTGTTGGGCCACGAAACGTGTGAGGGGTGTGACGAAGACGATGGCCATGACGATGCTGCTGCTGCTGCTGATGATGATGATGATGATGATGATGATGATGATGATGGCGATGATGATGATGATGATGATGATGATGATGATGATGATGATGATGATGATGCTGATGCTGATGCTGATGCTGATGATGATGATGATGATGATGATGATGATGATGATGATGATGATGATGATGATGATGATGTAAGGAGGAGGGCAGCGGGAGGAGTGAGGGCGCGGGGCGTTGTCTCTTCAGAACGAGGACCCAACAGCACAGGATGGTTGGGAATCAATACGGTCAAAACATAAGGACCAGATGACGCTTTACTATGTACCTGCGGCACGGTGGCTGATACACATGTGTATGAACATTATTTTAGACCTGGACCATTTGCCGTAACAGTGCAAGCATGTATGCCGCCCCTGAGTTGGGCAAGGATTGGCAGGTGAAATAAGATGCTTCGCAGACGCCACCCAGCAGTTGTTTGAAGCAACGCACAAGGGTTGCGTCCTCAGTCATTAGTTATATGAGAGGAGCTCGAGAACCGAACTTCATGTCATCAAGAGGCGAGGTAACTTCCTTACCACGTATCGGTTCAGATTCTGGCAGCGAAATGCATTGTTGATCTTCTGCAGTGAGTCTTCCGCAACCACGGTTGACAGTGTCCCTGCAAGCGATACATGCGTGTCCCCGCACAGTTGTTAGCATATCTGTTTGGCATGGTCGTTATTGAATTTTCCCACTTCGCCTCAAAATCGAGAGGATTCTGGAAAGTGGACTTTCGACTTGAAGCTTCAGCTAGGTGTTGTGAACCGGTCGCTCGGAAGGGGGCGCGACAGTTCAGATACCATCTAAGGTCCAGATATTTCTCTTCTTGTCTGCGACATGGAACAGCAAACAGAAAATAATGATGAGGAGGATGGGTAATTGAGTCAAGGCGTCATGCATGTTCCAGCTGCTCGCCCCTGCTAATCCCCCTTCTGCTCTCGACCAGGCTGGTGGCGCTTTGCTGACTACTACATGGTGGGTGGCCCGAGACGGCCATGGCGGATGACGGGAAGCGCCTTGAGGTGAGTTTGCAGCAGCGCTTCCCGTTCTATGTCCAGATTTTTCATTCATTCAGGGCGTCCAGTTATCCCCGCCTCTCAGTCTTAACCTTCTGGGCTTATCAGATTCACCCCTTCGCCCGCTCATCCTTTCACACCTCAGTGCCCTCGTTCCGTCACCCAGGCATCCCCTGCCCGTTGCGTCTGCACTGACGGCGCGGGGACCCAATCCTGTTCGGAATTGGAGCCCCGCGCGCGATTGGGGGGGCCTTTCACGGGGTCCGGGATGGAGTGAGGGGGGGCAAGGCTGGACCTAAACGGTGTTTTGGCGATTTCGTGGGCCGTTTTCGTTTCGATTTCGTTTTGCAGTAAAGGCGAAAACAAAACGAAAACGAAAAACACCGTTTACGTTCAGCCCCGGAGGAAAAACGACGAGGAACGGGGCGGGGGCACACAGGCGGCGCGTGGCCTGGGTTTCGGGCGGGCGTGCTGCGCCAATAAGGGGGCGTGGGTAATCCTAGAACGTCCAATTTTTCAGATTGTGGCACGTCGCGAAAGCAAACGCATGCAGCACTGGTGGCGCAGAGCATGAGTGTGTCGTCCGCGATTGAATGAACAGTCTGTTGCCCGTGGCGGCGGCGACCGACTGTATCGCGATGGGCCGAAACGCTTTTCTTTCAAATGGCTGTTTGCGATGTTCGGGTCATGTTTTATTTTGGTGGTGCTGTTTTAAAAAAGAGCAGGCTACGCATGATGATGGTGGTTGTGGTGATGATGGTGGTGATGCTGATGACAATGATGGCGTCGATGATGGCAACAGCGGAGATGACGATGAAACGATGATGGTGATGGTGATGGTTTTTGTTGTGGCCGATTGTGATGACGATCGCGGTGATGATGGCGATGATGATGATAATGACGATGGTTGTGACGATTGTGATAATAATGGAGATGCGGATGGTGAGGATGATGCGGGTGATGATGATGAGGGCGCGTATGATAACGGTGGTGGCGGGTGCTGTCACTATTGCGATAATGACATATATCGGAATGGAATATGTCGGCGATGAGTTGCACGATGAGCAGCGGGAGCTAACTTGCGCTGCCCATACGTGCCCCCCCTCGGCGGTCTCGTCGTCGTCCTCCTCCTCTTTTCATGGTCCCCCAATCCTTGGGCGCGTGTTGTTTCCTGCGCTCGCCGTGCGGGATTGCTTTGCGCGACCCTCGCGCTGCACTCCCGCCCGTCCGCCGCTTCAAATCGGCTCGCCTCCCGCTTTGTTCTTTCCCTCCTGCGCCCCGTGCTTCCGCACTTTTTGTGAAAACCCATATCATGGGCGAAGGAACAGGGATACGATCATGTGGGCGACGAGGGGGAGCAGGAAAAAAAAGAGGAGGAGGAAAACAAGGAGGAAGAAGAAGATGAGGAGAAGCGTGCCATCATCGATGGTAGTCAGTACCCACGTCTAGCGGCCTGCGCCATCTTGCCTTGATAATCTGTCGCGCCACCCTGCATCATCGCAGACACTCAGGGGAGAGAACCTCTTATCGGATACAGAACAAGACAATCTTGTGGAGCAGGAGTAACATGATGCGAGGTTTTTCCCGGAAAGGGCGGGGGCCCAGGGATCTCTTTTAGCTGTTTACCCCCGGAATCGACTTGAAGGAGGCCGGCGGAATTATTTTGCGATCAGTGACGAGTTGGAAGGAGGCCGGCGGAATCGTTTTTTCCCGGAAAGGGCGTGGGCCCAGGGCCCAGGGTTCTCTTTTAGTATGTAAACATAGTCCCCGGTGCCCAACTTGAAGGAGGCCGGCGAAATTTTTCCCTGATGAATATCGAGGTCGAAGGAGGCCGGCGAAATTATTTTTGAGGATGTCTCGAGCGAAACGCTTGTTTTTGAAATCCCGATCGATAAATCACAGGGTGCGGGCCACTTTTTCGTGTGTTGAGGATGTCTCGAGCGAAACGCTTGCTCCGCAGAGTTTGCCGAGGATGTCTCGAGCGAAACGCTGGTTTCGCTGAGCCGACCGCGACGCGGAAAAGCGCCCCGCGCGCAGGAATTCCGAGGATGTCTCGCGCGTGCCGCGTCCCGCGCGCAGGAATTTCGAGGATGTCTCGACTAATTCGCTTGTTTTTCTAGGATATCTTGGGATTTTGGCAGCATGTCTCGAGCGAAATGCACGACCCCACCCCAGCACGACCACACCCCAGCACGACCACACCCCAGCACGACCACACCCCAGCACGCCCCCACCCCAGCACGACCCCATCCCAGCACGACCCCATCCCAGCACGACCACACCCCAGCACGACCACACCCCAGCACGACCACACCCCAGCACGACCCCACCCCAGCAAGACCACACCCCAGCACGACCACACCCCAGCACGACCTCACCACAGCACGACCACACCCCAGCACGACCACGCCCCAGCACGACCACGCCCCAGCACGACCACGCCCCAGCACGACCACCCCCCCAGCACGACCACCCCCCAGCACGACCACCCCCCAGCACGACCACACCCCAGCACGACCACTCCCCAGCACGACCACACCCCACGCCACGCACGACCACACCCAGTCGCACCCCCGTGGAATGTTTCGTGGGGTGTCTGGTTGAGTGGTTGCCTGTTCGTGGGGTGTCTCGTGGAATGTTTCACGGGGTGTCTCGTGGAATGTTTCGTGAGGTGTCTCGTGAAATGTTTCGCCCCAGCACGACCACACCCCAGCACGACCACTCCCCAGCACGACCACACCCCAGCACGGCCACACCCCAGCACGACCACACCCAGTCGCACCCCCGTGGAATGTTTCGTGGGGTGTCTGGTTGAGTGGTTGCCTGTTCGTGGGGTGTCTCGTGGAATGTTTCACGGGGTGTCTCGTGGAATGTTTCGTGAGGTGTCTCGTGGAATGTTTCGTGAGGTGTCTCGTGGGATGTTTCGCGGGGTGTCTCGTGGGATGTTTCGTGAGGTGTCGCCCAGTTGGGTATCGTGAAAACGTGACCATGCTGCACATGTCTATATCCCTTTCCGGGTTCGTGGGTCCATCATGTTTGAGAATGTCCCGAGCGAAACGCTTGTTTCTCATAATTTATTGAGGATGTCTCGAGCGAAACGCGTGTTTTGTGTTATAGTGAAATGCTTGTTTTCACATGCCCAGTTTTGGGGGATGTCTCGAGCGAGACGTTTGGTTTCACGCCTCCAGGTTGCCCAGACAGATGTCTAGCATGAGGATTTGTCGAGGATGTCTCGAACCAGAGACTTGTTTTCACGTGTCCACATCGCCCAGGCGGATGTATAACATAAAGGATGTGTCGAGGATGTATTGAGCGAAACGCATGTTTTCACGTGCCCAGGTCGCCAAGGCGGATGTCTAGCATGAGGATGTGCTGAGAACGTCTTGAGCGAAACGCGTGTTTTCACGTGTCCAGGTCGCCCAGGCACAGCACAGCCCTCGGCATGTTACATCAATACCGATACCCTTAGCATTGCAGCCTGGCATGTTGCCTGGCACGTTCCGCGGAGCGTCCCGTGGCGAGTCTCCATGACACGTTGCGCGGTGCACGTCCATTGGCACGTTCCGTAGCGCGTCCCCTTGGCACGTCCCGCGGTGCGTGCCCATGGCACGTCCCCTGGCACGTCGCCTGGCGCGTCCCTTGGAACGTTCCGCGGCGCGTCCTCCTGGCATGCCCCCCTGTCGATTAGTTCTGGGGCAGCCACCATCTGCTCAGGCAGCTCGAGCTTAAGATCCAGATCAGTTCGGTCAGGACTCGGATGCAAAGAGGACTCGATCCACAACGCTATATGGAGGACAATTGCGGCATGGCACATCGCATTTCAGCACGGCCCAGCACAGCACAGGCCTCGGCACGGTACATCAAGATCGATATACTCAGCATTGCCTTTTGGCACGTTCTTTGGCGCGTTCCGTGGCGAGTCCCCCTGGCACGTCGCGCGGCGTGTCCCCCGGCACGTCCCGCGGCACGTCCATTGGCACGTTCCGTAGCGCGTCCTTTTGGCACGTCCCGCGGTGCGTGCCCATGGCACGTCCCCTGGCACGTCGCCTGGCGCGTCCCTTGGGACGTTCAACGGCGCGTCCTCCTGGCACGTCCATTGGCACGTTCCGTAGCGCATCCCCTTGGCACGTCCCGCGGTGCGTCCCCATGGCACGTCCCCTGACACGTCGCTTGGCGCGTCCCTTGGAACGTTCCGCGGCGCATCATCCTGGCGTGTCCCCTCTGTCGATTCGTTCTGGGGCAGCCACCATCTGCTCAGGCAGCTCGCGCGTAATATCCAGATCATTTCGGTCAGGATTTGAATGCCAGGGAGGACTCGATCCACAACGTTATGTAAAGCACATTCGCGGCATGGCACATCGCAGTTCAGCACGGCGCAGCACAGCACAGCCTTCGGCACGGTACATCAAGATCGATGCATTCAGCATTTCAACTTGGCACGTTCCGTGGCGCGTTCCGTGGCGAGTCCCCTTGGCACGTCGCGCGGCGCGTCCCCTGGCACGTCCCGTGGCACGTCCATTGGCACGTTCCGTAGCGCGTCCTTTTGGCACGTCCCGCGGTGCGTGCCCATGGCACGTCCCCTGGCACGTCGCCTGGCGCGTCCCTTGGGACGTTCCGCGGCGCATCCTCCTGGCATGTCCCCTCGGTCGAGTCGTTCTGGGGCAGCTGCCATCTGCTCAGGCAGCTCGAACCTAATATCCAGATCAGTTCGGTCAGGATTCGAATGCCAGGGAGGACTCGATCTACAGCGT